CTTCTCCGCAGTGCATGAGGAGTCGGAAGCGAGGCTAACAGAGATGCTGGACCCCTCTGCTGCAAATATAACTGAGATTCAGGAACCCTAGCTCATATATTGGACAATGGTTTGAATAATATAATCCTTGTCACCCACTGGCACAATAACATAAAGCATTGTATAGCTGAATTCCTTGAAATAAAGAACTATAGAAGTTTATTGCCTGGCTACAGATGGCTCAACAAGGTTCGTCGACATTTTAGTTTTCAATGTAATGCAAAAGGAGACTAATAGTGGACCCATTATCAGGTTTGAGACTAACGATCAAGATCAAGACTTCGAGGTGAAGGCAGAGAAAGAGGAAATTCATACGAAATATAAATCTCACTGAAAGGAAAAGTATACAAATGAATTTGGCAAGAGAAAACTCTCAGTTACAGAGGTATGGTTCAGAGAAGTAGAGAAATCGTCCCTCTCACTGCAAGTAATTTATTTCAATGGTTCGGTGTTGGAAGGGAATGGATGCAGAACATGGCAGAAACTGTTTTTTTGGACTCATTAGGAATCCTCCATCTCCATACATATTAATTAATCCTAGCCTTCATTTATTTGATTCTGTAAACTGTTTTTGGCATATTTGCTATCAATTACAATGGCCCGACCTAACTCTTTCTTATTTTATTTAACTATTGATCGATGAGTATATTGCTTTATTTAGGAGCTCAACACAGTTGAGCAGCCATGAAATATTGTTGTAGTTCTCTTACTCACTTATTTAACTGCTCTTTAGAAAGGATCAACATTCGAAAGAAGAATAAATTAAATACTCACAGTACCAACTTTTGAACATTAATTCAGGGCAGATCATTTGCAAGACAAACTATATCATTTATATTTGTTACAATAATTAAAAAGCCTGTATGGGATACATACTCTATCAATCCACAAATATTATGTTTTTTTTTCTAAAACACATATTTTAGCTACAAAATAATGTATGCCTTTTGCCTACAAAATAATTTATAAAAATACCTAGAATCATAGAGGGAAATCTTTTTGTCATTAGAGGGTGCAATAACATCAGGCAGTGATAATGGAGGTTGGAATAATAGTTTATATTTTACTAATATTTTATTAATAAGTAAATACACACACCCATATACAAGTATTAAATTTAATTCTATTGGATTTTCAAATTTTCGTAACTTTAAAATTTTCAAAAATAAGATTAATTATAGTGCTAGATTAATGAATACTGTGCAAAAACGTTTGGGGACCGCAATTATGTCACAGAGACCACATGCAGTCTAGAGCCCACAGGTTCCCAACCTATTGTCTATACATTCCAGACTCAAAATGGACACACGTCTTTCTGATGATCTTCCTTTATACCTTGAAGGCCTAAATATTGAAACAATGAACCTCCAATGGGCAGCTTCTCCACAACTGCTCATAATAAAATATTAATGTTACTAATTGATTAATTGTATATAAAACCCAATACTTAAAAAAAACATTGAAAAGTGATAGCTACTGTACTGAACTCATCTATAAATATTATAAAAGGTTTCTGTAAGAAAGGGAAATAGTCATAAATTTAATATCAGACCACAGGAGCCACAAAAAAAAAAAATCTACAAACAATGGTTTGATTTTCTGCAGAAAAGCAGGAAATTAAGTTGTGTTTTTAAAAATAAGTTATGTTTTTGTTGAATAGAAAGCAATCGCTAACAAAATATTCCATTCATGTAATCAACAAAATTTCCTTACTTTTCAAGTAGGCTTTGTCTTAGTTAGAACCATTTAAAAGAGACATTCAAGCAGCTAAACTAAGTTCTGTATTTAATAAAATCATGAATTATTCAAAATGTTTTTTTTTTTTCTCCTTCTAAGTGGACTACAGAAACTGCACTTAAAGAAAAACTTACTTCTTTAATAAGCTTCAGATCCATGTTAAACTAAAAAAAATTATTAAATAACTAAAAAGAAAAATATTCTATGTCTTTTAAGTCTGAGTATTTAGTGTGGAGAGTAAAAAAGGAGGGGACAGCTAAAAATTATGTGGCCAGAGCACCAGCTATCGTAAATCATAACCTAAAAAAATGTCAGAAACATTGAAAAGATAATGTTCATTTTAATACAGCAAATCTTGACCATTTAAACGTAAGGGTTTAAAATCTTGACCATTTAAACGTAAGGGTTTAACAATTTAATCAACAGCAAATAACGTACTATAGTGTGAAGTTAATAAGGGAATATCTATCTTAAGTTTTTTAATATCATATAGAGCTATAACACCACTTATAATTTATGAAAGCATGAAGTTTGGTAAAACAAAACAACAATAACTGGTATTGTAAAATACTATTAAAAACTGATCGTTTGGACACTTAAACAATTATTTAATTTGCTTTTATGATAAATTTGCTTAATAATCTATAACAAATATTAATATATGTATGTAATATAACTAGTATACACCCAGTGGCCAAAATTTGACTATAAACAATACTGAAAATTTAAACAAAATATATATAAATTTGCATGTTTCCAACATTTTTCTTCTACTCTTATATTTTCATAAATAATCTTTTATATGTATTTACAACAAGTTCAATTGTTGTAACAATAGTTCAGTACCATTTTTGTACTTTTTGAGTTATTTGAAAATAAACTTCTAAATCCATCGTTACTTTTTTTCGGTCTCTTTTCAGGGAAGTATCTTGTATTCATAGATAAAAATGGTTTTGAGATAGGTGTAGACTTTTGCCAAGTTTCATTAAAATTTGTTACAGGCATTTAAGCGCTATAGATGAAAGTGACAAACGTTTTTTTGCCACAATTTCGAAATAAAATGCCGGATGGTAATGAAACGTATATAAAAACACTCCTGAATTTTATTGCAACGTTGTATCAAAATTTTAAAGCAATTAGCGAGGAACTTTGGAGATTAGTGGTTTTAAACTAACTAATATTTACATGTTTATTTATTTACTGTTTCCAATTTTTTTTTTTATTGATAATACTAAAGATCATTAATAGCTAATAAACAAAAAAAAAAAAAAGAAAACCAGTTGAAAAAACAGAGAGGAAAAAGGTACTGAACTGTTTTGTCTTTGCTTATTTATATAATAATATATATTAATAAGAAGAAATTTTATTTTTTACTTAACACATGTGATAATTTAATATTGAATGTATTTTTTTTTTCTCTTATATACTTCTACGTCTGTCTGCTTAGTTATCCTTAGCTAAGGGAGTTTCTACTTCATGTATTTTCATAAAGAAGAATAATATGAACATAAATTATATATGAACATATAGATATATTTAATGTATTTCGTCTATAAGACAGATTCTCGTTCATAATATTCTACCCGACCAATGCACACATGAGATTATAAAACTATTTCTAATTTACAACATACAAAACAGAACTACTAAAGAATCTGGACATCTTCACTAACTCTGTACAAAAGCTGGTACAATCATTAAATTTAAGCCATAGACTATTTTTGCAAAATAACTGTTTTAAAGCTTTCAAAAAATTTATGCACAGCAAGTTTTACATAAAATATTCCTTGCTTTGCACACCAGTTTACGACAAAATTATTATGCAATTTTAATATTTAAAAAAGCATAAAAAGATAATTGAACATCAATAAACATTATTTGTTAATAATAGACAACTTAATATAGAATAAAATCATTTTAATTCTTCTTAACTTGGATAACAATTAAGATTAGTAGTTAATAATATAATGTGAAGTTTTGTGAATACACCGTATATGTATAAAAATTAATCTGTGTTAGAAGCACGGCATGGATGAATAACATAATTACAAATGGACAGTTAAGAAGTAATATTTATGAAGTTATTTGTTGCTATACATGCCCTAAAATAATCTTTAAGAGAAATGTTTACTAAATTATTTATTACAGCGTAAAATTAAAGTAATCCTTAAACAATAGCAAGGGTTAATTCCCATGAGATTTATGTGATTTTTTAAATTTATACGAATATTTAAATATGCAATGCATATGTGAATGTGGAATTTTTCAACATTTTTGTATTGATGGTAAAACCTACAAGTGGTGAATTGTGTTCGATAATTCAAAATCTTCAGCTGTTAATTTGAAATCCTTTCCGTAATATTTTTTACAGAGGCTATATACATATAAAATTTATGTAAACTCATATATATTTACAAAAAAAATCTCAATAATTTTTTTATTTAATGGTGTTTTCTTCAGCCAATTCTACCCTCAGTCAAATTCCTCCACTTCTTCCTACCCATCCCTTCCTCCTTCAGCAGTACTCAGCCCACCATGCTCTCAACCATATCTCTCCATCTGACATGAGACCTTCCTCTCTCCTTCTCCTACCCTCAGCTTCCCACTCGAATGTCATTTTGGGAAGTCATTTACTATTCATCCTTTTCATATGTCCATACCACTTTAATCTTCTTTCTTCCACCATCTCTAGTATATTATTCTCAACTTCCATTGTTTTTCTAATGGTCTCATATCTGATTCTTTGTGTCCTTGAGACACTAGCCGACTTCCTCCAAAAATCCATCTCCACAGCTAGAATTTTTTTTTCTTTCCTCTTAGACATGAAAAACTAACAAACACTTGGATGATTTTTAGATCAATTATGTTCGAAAACCTTTTTTTGTCCCTACTGTAAATGAGATCATGTTGAGAATAAAGGTAATACCAAATGTGACATTGCTTATCAGTTTGTTTTTAGTTTCACAAATATTTTATTGAATGATTATGAATAATATTTTAAAATCAACTTAAAGTTGATACCATAAGATTGCCAATAGTTTTAATTCCACTATCAATGAGAAAATAAAGTAAAACAAGAAGGTAATAATAACACATAAAAATGGAAAAGGATTAAAACAATTATTTGTACCTACTATAAAAGAAAAATTTTGGTGAGACAAGACATCAGATATAAGTGAGCAATATTTGAATAAAGCAAATCTTTTGAGTATTAAATTATTTACCTCGACTTTTGCATTGTTCTGAAATATTGTTTGTGCCTTGTGTGTCAACTGAGCGAAGCAAGAACTGAGGGTCGACATTTTCTGCCTCGCAGCGTATACCATTTCGGGTTCATCACTATCCAATTCACCTAAATAAAATAATTGTTTTTATTGCAGGATAGAACAAACGAAAAAATGATTTAAATTAATAACACATTTCAGTACAGAAAAAGATTTCCTCAGAAATAAAATTTTCTTTAACAGTAAGTACACATAAGTAAATATCTGAAACTTATTATATTCAAATAAAAGCGAGTAATAAAAACAATTGATTCGCTTCATGTCTAATTTATTCATGAATACACAAGAATATGATTTTTAATATAAATTAATATTAATACGGTCATATTTATTCTTATTTAAATATTATTAAATTACTTTCATTAAACTACAACTACAGAACTGTAAAAAGAAATAAAAATCATAAATAGGAATAAAGTTCATTAAAGATTAAGAGCCGAGAACTAATATATATATAATTTGAAGCATTTCAAACCATGGAACACAGCTGGATTAATTTTACACATTACTAAACAAGTTTCTAAAAAATCTGACGATAAACACAAATAAATATTATAAACTCCTATTCTCAATATGAAACGTCTCTTTTTAAATAAGTTAGTATGAAAAAGTCGTATTTATTAAATAAATAAATAAATAAATGAGCACCATTGCTTGAAGTTACATGGACCCAGTCAAAGGTTACTTAAACTGGCAGTAAAAATGTTTAAAATTATATCTACATCCCTTATTATGAATACATATAGACTTAATTGAAAATCTTCACAAGATTTAGAGCACTAGAGAAATAGGTTCTAAAGAAATTTACTGTGTTCTAACTACGTTTTTCAGTTTAGGTAATTGTAAAATTTTATTTATTTTAATAATTTAGTGTAATTCATTTGGTCATTTATATCATGTAATTTTTTTGACTGAACAACCCAACCAACTTCTCTTCAACTGATAAATTTTTCTTTGGAAAAATCAGAACTGCAGGAACTTAATAAAATTAATTATGAGATATAAAAGGATTTTTGCTACTTAAATGTACTTAATGGATTTTTTCATGATTATTAGTCGATATTATAACGCTTACAACTCTGTAAGAGGTTGGAAATATGGAAAACCCTAATTTTTTTCTTTGCCAGTTCCATATAAATTGTTATCCAATAGAGATTGTGAAGAAAATAAATTCAAAGATTTGAGAGTCTGCAAAGTCAATGCCTTTCTTTAATTAAATATGACCCAATGCCTTTCTTTAATTAAATATGACCCCAAAACCTTGTCAACACAGGCTGATCAGTTTTTTTTTTTTTTTTCTGAAAAGAAGCTTGCTCAGGCAAACTAAAGTCAAGTGAACCAAATGTAATAATAGATTATACTTTATATGTATCATAAAGAAGCTGCTTCTGTAATCTATTACCGAGCAGTGGCCACAAATCACAGTGGGATGAAAGGTGGATTTTCGTGGACATGGGCCTAGAACTTATTAATTCGAGATAACTTATTATTATTATTACATTTTATTCTGATTAACTTGATATTTTGTACCCTTATATTTTTAAGGAACATGAATATGACGTCCAAATAAGAAAATTTTCACAAACAGAAAAATCGGGTATTTTTGTTTAAATCTGAGAATTTTTTAATTTGACAATAAGTTAACTTTGAAAATGATAAAGACCTCTTCAAACGCATAATTTTATGTACCTATTTATAATTGCTGTCTATATTACTACATATAATCATTATTTTAATCATTTTAAAAACACTATATATAGTTATAATATATTTATATGTAATAACTAAACAAATGTATTGTTTATCAATAGTTCTTATGGAACAATAAACATAGTATTTTATTTTTATTACAATAAAATTTTAAACATCATCAAAAATATTTTAAACACCATCGATACTTTTTCACATTCTTCGATGAAAAAAATTTATATTTCTTCATTAATTTTAAAGATTATATTTAGAATAACTGATACAGACAACAATCGTGGGCATTTCAAACCACAATATTAATTTTGAACTTTATAACAATATTATTAAACTTAAAGATATAACTAATAAGTAAGAGAATTAAAAAAAATTATTCGATAAAAAAGTTTATTCAATAAACAATTTTTTATCTGATTGTTGATCATAATTTAATTTTTTCATATTTAATCAATGACAGATTTAAGTTTTGAAATCCCACAAATACTCCAACAAACAAATTTTGCATATAAAACTCCTTTTACATTTAATTAAGATAAAAATAATAAATTACTTTACGTTTAAGCTTAATTAGTCATTTTCGGAATTTCTAATAAAAACAAAAAATAGAAAATTTTATGTACTTAATTTTAGTTTCTGGTTATTTAGTTTTATACTTAAATGCTCTTAATAATACTTAATTTACTGTTTATATATTTTATGTTCTTAATACTTTTATATACTTTCTGTTTACATTATTTATAATTTTTATTTAAATATCAGTTAACTCCAACAATTTTCTATATCCTTTTGAGTCTTGTTTGTTCTAGACATAATGAAGACCTACGTAGTTGGGTCAAAACGTTGGTTAAAATAAAATAGTTTATCACTATTCATAGACTATAAATTTTCAAATAGTGATGAGAGAATATTTAATATTTAAAATGCAATAATATATAATAGTTGCTAATAATAAAGGATAATTACTACTAATATCTTTTTTATATTGGATTGAATTGATTTCGGATTACCTATTGAATAAATAAAATCGTAATTAGTATTGATTAATTTGAAAAAAAAAAACGAAAAAAAATTTTAATAAAATTATACTATTATTTCTTATGTACATTGGATGACGCTAAACATTTAAAATTGAATAAAAGGGCATTAGGAAGTGATTGGAATTAGCATATGTTACCAGATATATAAGGCCTTTAATTTTAGATGATATATTAATATTAGATTACATATTAATATTAATATTATCATGTTACATGATCATATTAATATTAATATTATCATGTTACATGATCATATTAATATTAATATTATCATGTTACATGATAGATGATATAATTAAAATTATAGTAATAAGCATAATCCTAATAATATATAAAATATAAGTTTTATTTTTTCTTTGGAATATTACAAAAAAAGCATAATATACATAATGTTCAATTCTATTTACTTACTATTTATTCTATTAAAAGTGGGTACATATTTTAATTTTCATAAATGAAATTTATTTTGATCATACTGTAATTTTTTTACTGAATTTGAATTAATTTTGGATTATCTAACGAATAAATAATGCTGAAATTAATATTTATTAATTGGAAAACATGCAAAAACAATTTTGATAAAATTAAAATATTATTTAGTACATATATTGGACAATGTTAAACATGAAATGATGAAGGAATTACAAATCCGAGACGTGACGTTTGCCATGGTAAGTGTATGTTTTTTGAACGGGCAGTGCAGAGTCCCTTTTCCATTTTGTTGTAAGACTTATGTGTCCAATGTAACCACAGCATTATTCGGGTACCCATTGACCCCACCTTTTATTTAATTTTAAACATTAGTTAATTTGATGATGTGTTTGGTTATTTATTTATTTACATTAGAGTGAAAATAAAAGGTTGTTTATATAAAGTTAAAAGAATAATATAAATATTTATTTCTTATCTATGTAGACAAAATTAAAATTTTAAAACAATATAAAAACAAAGTTTGATGTTTAAAGTAAACATGTTTATATTATTTTGATTTGAGATATTTTTCGAAACAAATAAATACAGAACCTTATTTTCTTTATGTAAATAAGACGTGGCAATAAGTGTATAAATTTTATAAAGGAGTAAGTAGAAAATCATAAGATGTAGTGATATCAATTGAAATCTATCTGATTCAATAGACAGTGATTCTTATAAGTTAAGTATGAACAAAGATGATAAAGATCTGAAAATGTAAAAAAAAGTAAGAAGAAATGATGAGAATAAAATATAAATGAGCAAACGTACCTCCTATACATAATGAGTGTGTGAACAGAGTGACTTACCAAGACCCGATCTGTAACGGTTACAGATAAAAACTTGAACTTAACTAAAGTGATGCCTTTTTTTAGTTTAAAAGTGGACTATTCATATAATAAGGAATGTAGAAATTATACTTTTATTAGTATATTACTATAATACCCACATATAATATTACAGTAAGGTTCAAAATCAGTTTTGCACCAAATATAAGCTCCTCTCATGCTCAAATGCCTTCAATGGAGTACCATTGGATTAAAAATTTTATGGGGAGTTAGTGAATCGTAATCTCCACTTTCGTTTTTCTATCTAAAATAAATAAAGTCAATACAAATATTTTGCAAGGCTCCAGTAGGAGCAGTGGTGAGTCGGTGGATTGATATGGAACAAATTGGGATTTGAAGATTTTTATGCGGACACAAATGGGTCTACCATGGGATGCATGTTGAAATCAGACTATTATCAGCAAAGATGTAGCATATTGAAATTTGTAAACATATCACTTCAAAACATGAATGAAGTTTAAATTACTTTTTATGTCTTATGTCGATTATAATTTCTCCATCTTATGATAGGTTGCGTTATTTTATTATTAATTATCATTTAGTCACTGATCAATATACTGTGCGAATAATTTGCATGGGCCAACTAGTATTCAATTATGTACATATGAAATACATAGTAATGGAAAGTATCACAATTGTGAATCCTGATTTTCAACAGAAATACAAGTTTCAAGATCCTCCAAAAGTCTCAGTATTAATGTGAACAGCGTAGTTCAAAACCGAAAAAATGTTCAACATTGAAATTAGGTATTTTATACTTTTATGGATTGTTACGTTCTCAGAAACAGCCCTACAAAATTTGATTTAATTTGTTTTACCAATGGAAATGTCTTATTCTCATTGAAATAGCCTGACAAGATTTAATTGCCAAATTTCCAAAATTTCAGTACCTAACGTATCTTTAATAATTAAATATCTTTAAATAATTAGCTGGTTAATAATTAAAGATCTCCAATTGATAGTGGTAATATAAGATGAATAAATATTAACAAAGAAAGAATTAAATAGTAAAAGAAAAAAAAAAGAAAAAAAAACTAATGGTGAACACATGAAGAATATTTTCAAAGATTGAAAACAAATTCCTGGAATATATTATGGAAAGTTAAAGATTATAAAATATTAATATCAAAAGATTCAAAATCACACAAAGATCAAAATCATTAGACAAAAAACAAATGACTTTTAATTGATACAGCTAATAATGTATGTTTTAGATAATAAGTTTTTCATGGAAAATATATCGAAAACTTTAAAATATATAGCGTATAAAATGTCCATATTTTTTACTGATTGTTGTAAATGTAAATAAAGTGATATTTCTAAGATTTACTAACTTTAAAAATAAATTGCTAAGGAGAGTACACTGGTATCAGCATTAAAAATATATTAGTAATTCTATGGAAGTTTCAATGACTAGTAGTGAGCATGTACCACAGTTTTAAGAAAAACAAATTAGTAAGAGTAAGAATTTTTCAACAGAAAACAAAATCAACAGGTATGAATTTAGATACTATTTCAAACAGTAAACAATATAAAAATACTTCTAACTTCAAAATATGAAGTTAATAATTAAAAAATACTAAATAATCCAAGACATATTCTAAATCACCATATATTGAGATAAATTATTGTCAGAGAAAACATTTGTTCATGTGATTCCCCATCATTTTAATTCTAATGATCATAATCAATACATAAAAAGAATAGCCATAGATTAAATAATAACACTATTATACTTAAATGAGACTAAATAATAACAGGTAGGAAAAAACAAAACTCACATCAAGTGGTTAATTAATAAATAAAATTAAAAAAAAAAGGCCTGTCACTTCAGCATAGCACTTCATACATATTTTTTAAACAACTTAAGTAAGAAAAGGATCAAAACTAAACTGTCATTATTTAAATACATAATAAAAGACAAGTAAGATTGTTAAATATTAGAAATACTAATTCTATAAATGAATACACAGGCCAATTGTGGATTCTGAATAAACCAGTGGATACTGTTTATACTTTTTAATTTAAGTTCAATTGTATACATACATTTATTAAGAATAATTAATGAAAATACTATAATAAACATAGCATACAAGAAACACATGCAACAATAGAAACAGAACACCTACAAAGCGAAAAAAAAAATCTGGCATGTACTTTATTTAGGGGCTTACCTATTAAAATATCGAGATCTACATATGCTTTATCAAATTCTTTTTCAAGTAAATCCAACCAGCGAAAACTCATAGCTGTAACAGCCATTTTGAAATGTCAAATTAAATCACGGAGCATAAAATGTTGATAAGATAGCGTCAGTAATGTTGATTTTTGTCAAAAATGGTTCAGCAATAAAAAAATTATCGACAATAGTAGAAGTAAAATGTTTTATTTAATAGATAGTAAAAGAAAGAAGGATATTAAAAACAGTTATAGGGGGTGGGTGACGTTTGAGCTACAAAGAAGTTGACGTGTACCGGTCCAGCTGGTTACTTTGCGTGTAAGGTTAGTTTATGGTGTGACCTGTTTTCGTGTAGTGTTTTTGCTGTAAATGAATCATGTTAACTAAGTTCGAAACAAAGTCTGCCCGTGTGAAAGGATTGTCTTTTCATTCTAAAAGACCATGGATTTTAGCTGGATTACACAGCGGAGTTATCCAATTATGGGATTATCGTATGTGTACACTTCTTGATAAATTTGATGAACATGATGGACCCGTACGAGGTATTTGTTTTCATACTCAACAGCCTTTATTTGTTTCTGGAGGTGATGATTATAAAATTAAAGTGTGGAACTATAAGCATCGAAGATGCATATTTACCCTTCTTGGCCATTTAGATTACATCCGCACAACTGTTTTTCATCATGAATATCCTTGGATTTTGAGTGCATCCGATGATCAAACGATAAGGATCTGGAATTGGCAAAGCAGAACATGTATTTGTGTACTTACTGGGCACAATCATTATGTTATGTGCGCTCAGTTTCATCCAACGGATGATATTGTTGTATCTGCATCCCTTGACTCTACTGTTCGAGTCTGGGATATATCTGGCCTACGTAAAAAGAATGTTGCTCCTGGCCCTGGTGGCTTAGAAGAACATTTGAAGAATCCAACCGCTACTGATTTATTTGGTCAGGCTGACGCTGTTGTTAAACATGTTCTTGAAGGTCATGACAGAGGAGTAAATTGGGCGATGTTCCATCCTACTTTACCCCTAATTGTATCTGGAGCTGATGATCGACAGATTAAATTGTGGCGAATGAATGATGCTAAAGCCTGGGAAGTTGATACTTGTAGGGGACATTATAACAATGTATCTTGTGTCCTTTTTCATCCAAGGCAGGATTTAATACTTTCAAATTCTGAAGATAAAAGTGTACGAGTTTGGGATATGACTAAGAGAACTTGCCTGCATACATTTAGAAGGGAACACGAAAGATTTTGGGTCTTATGTGCTCATCCATCATTAAATTTATTTGCTGCTGGTCATGATTCGGGTATGGTTATTTTTAAACTTGAAAGAGAAAGGCCTGCTTATGCTGTTCATGGCAACATATTGTTATACGTAAAGGACAATTTCCTTAGGAAGCTTGATTTCTCTAATTCTAAAGATCTACCTGTTTTGCAAATGAGAGGCAGTGGCAAAGTACCAGTGTACAGTATCAACTATAATGTTGCTGAGAATGCTGTTCTTGCTTGTTCAAGACTTCCAAACGTAGAAAACAGTGTTTACAATTTATATATACTACCAAAACAGTCAGAAAGCCAAAGTTCTGATGCAACTGAGAGTAAGTGCACAGCAGGATTGACAGCAGTTTGGGTCGCTAGAAATAGATTTGCTGTTTTGGACAGATCTCATTCTATTGTGATTAAAAATCTAAAGAATGAAGTAACAAAAAAAGTTACAGCGCAAGCATGTGATGAAATTTTTTATGCTGGCACTGGTATGTTACTACTTCGTGATTCCGAATCTGTTACATTATTTGATGTTCAACAGAAGAGAACTATATCTCAAGCTAAAATTTCTAAATGCCGTTATGTAGTTTGGTCATCTGATATGTCACAAGTTGCCCTGTTAGCTAAACACACAGTAACCTTATGTAACAGAAAATTGGATATTTTGGCATCTATCCATGAGAATACAAGGGTTAAATCTGGTGCTTGGGATGAAAATGGAGTTTTTATTTACACAACAAGTAATCACATTAAATATGCTATCAATAATGGAGATCATGGAATTATTCGAACACTCGATTTACCAATATATATAACCAAAGTTAAAGGTAATCAAGTTTTCTGTTTAGATAGAGAATGCCAATCAAGAATTTTGAGTATTGATCCTACTGAGTACCGTTTCAAACTTGCTTTAATTCATTGGAATTATGAAGAAGTACTACATATGGTAAGAAATGCAAGACTTGTTGGTCAAGCTATCATTGCTTATTTGCAGCAAAAGGGCTATCCTGAAGTAGCGTTGCATTTTGTAAAAGATGAAAAAACACGCTTTGCTTTGGCCCTGGAATGTGGAAATATTGAAGTTGCTCTGGAAGCAGCCAGAGCTCTTGATGACAAAGCTTGTTGGAACAGATTAGGACAAGCAGCTTTATTACAAGGAAATCACCAAGTTGTGGAAATGTGTTACCAGAGAACTAAGAATTTTGACAAACTTTCTTTCTTATATTTAATTACTGGAAATTTGGAAAAACTTCGAAAGATGACAAAGATTGCTGAAATCAGAAAAGATTTGTCTGGTCAATATCAAGGGGCTCTTCTGTTAGGTGACGTGCCTGAAAGGATAAGAATTTTGAAAAATTGTGGACAAGTATCTTTGGCTTATTTAACTGCGATAACTCATGGCCTAGAAGAAGAAGCAGAAGCACTTAAAGATGAATGTGAAGGAAATCTACCGCAAGTTGACCCAAAAGCTTCGTTGTTGCAACCACCAGTTCCTATTATGCAAGCAGAATCCAATTGGCCTCTTCTTACAGTTTCGAAAGGATTCTTTGAAGGAGCAGTAATGAAAGGTACAGGAGTAACTGCTGCTATCATTGATGATTCAGGTGATGGTTGGGGTGATGAAGCACAACTTGGCTTTGAAGAGCATATTCCAGGTGAGGATGATGGGGAAGAACAAGTTATACCAACACAGGAAGGTGATGGTTGGGATGTTGGTGATGAAGATTTAGAACTTCCGCCTGATCTTGAAGCTACTCCTACAGGAGAGGAAGGATATTTTGTACCACCCACAAGAGGTGTATCTCAGGCACAGGTTTGGGCCAATAATTCTCATCTTGTGGCTGACCATGCAATGGCAGGATCATTTGAAACCGCTTTCAGACTCTTGAAAGAACAAGTCGGAGTGGTTGAATTCGGTCCTTTACAGAATCTATTTATGACTGCATATTCCATAGGGAGAACATCTTATACACCATTACCAGCATTGCCATCAATGTATGCACATCCTCACAGAAACTGGAAGGAAGCTGGCGCTAAAGGTGGGCATCCAGCATTATGGATAAAATTGAATGATCTCGTAACCAGTTTGCAATCATGTTACCAGCTGACAACTAATGGTAAATTTCCTGAAGCTATCAAGAAATTTAGAAGCTTATTATTGAGCATATTATTGCTCGTTGTAGATACCAAACAGCAGATATCTGAAGCCCAACAATTATTGGGAATCTGCCGTGAATATATTTTAGGATTACAAATGGAAACCAAGAGAAAAGAACTGCCTAAAGATACGCTGGAAGACCAAAAGAGGATATGTGAAATGGCTGCCTACTTTACTCATTGCTCTCTTCAACCAGTTCACCAAATATTGACTTTAAGAACTGCCATTAATTTGTTTTTCAAACTTAAAAACTATAAAACAGCAGCATCATTTGCTAAAAGGTTACTAGAACTTGGTCCTCGCCCAGAAGTTGCACAACAAGCTCGTAAGTTAAATCAAGCTTGTGATAAGAATCCTGTTGACGAGCATAAGTTACAGTATGATGAACATAATCCCTTTACTATTTGTGCAGCAACTTATATCCCAATTTATAAAGGCAAGCCTGAAGAAAAATGCCCTTTCTGTGGAGCAAGCTTTCTTCCCGAATGTAAAGGCAAAGTTTGTACTATTTGCACAGTTGCACAAATTGGAGCAGATACTTTAGGGTTAAGGATAAGCCCATTACAATTTAGATAAACTAGGGTAAATGTTATTACTTGGGTTTATGTAAAATATTTTAAAATAATATATTTTAAAGATAATTGCTAAAATGTTACTGTAGATATAATTTAAACTAAAAAAAAACTATTATCATCTATATACGTTATGAGATTTATGCTGAACATTTCTTTATTAAAGTATTATTTTATATAATTAAAATATTCCATTATATTTATATGTATAATACATGATGTTTTCTCAAATTCATTCTTTTATTTGTTTTTTCACTTATCTAAACATATTTTCCAATTTACCTAATTGTTAGGAAAGAAAAAAATTAATATCATATATATGTATATATATATATATTGTATAAATATGATATAATTTTATCTATATATATACACATATATATATTTATTTACTTAAAGAAATTATAGATATAGGTAATTAGCGGACTAATCAATTATAAGGATAAAACAAAATTTCGGTCATACAGGATAGGTCAAAATTTCGGCTAACCCAATAAAAATATCTTGACTGAAATTTCTGAATACAATTTCATTCATTCATTCATAGTAAAAATTCTGAATTTCTGAGAAAAATTCATTTCATCTTTAAAAAATTATGTTTGAATTAATTGACCAATTAACCAGGAGGTAAGTAAGGACGGCAGTCAAAATGATGAAACAATATTTTAAAACTATTTACTTAATGCATGCCTGTATGATACTGTTGAATGATATTAAAATGAATAGCATTGTAATTGAATTGAGTTTTCAACTTAACTTAGAAATGTATTAAAAGGATTTTTTTTTATTGACTGCACTGGCTATACTCACTAAAAATAAATAAGTAATTGCTCATAAAAATCAAATAAAGACAATGAAATAATGTATTCAATCAAAATGCTATTGTTTTACTTGTGAGAAATGACTTAGTTTTAATATCCCATTCCGTTAGTATTGTATCTTAAAATTAATGTACTTTATAGTTTAGTTTATTTAGTTATATTTTAGAGACAATTAAAAGTTTCTATTTTTTTGTATTTTCATAAAAGCTGCTTCATACCTAAAACTTTTATTTATTTTTATTTGTTAAAGACATTTACAACTGTATTAAATAAATACATCCAGTAAATTTGAACATAATGTATATAATGACATGAAGACACTTGCTGAGTTACTACCCAATGGTAGCACTCTAATCCTAAAACTAAAGATGGAAGAACAAACCTGTATATAAATCATGGAGTAAAAATATGAAACAATATATTTTGTTTAATTTACAAAAAAAATTGAAAAAAAATGTTTCATAAAAAGAATAAATAATCAAACTACTGGTTTTGAGTATTTCAAATTAATATGTGTGTGTAATACAAATATTATGGCATATTTTTAAAACAAAAAACACTGAAAAGTAAAAAAATATATATGTTTATATCGAACCATTAATAGTTTAACAGAGAATTGATGCTAACCAGAATTTTAAATTATCAACTGGTCACCTTTGTTTTCCATTTATAATTTTTTTTATACTTAAAACGTATTTTTCTCATGAGTCGTTAATTACTCATAAGTTATAATTTATTTTGATTGAAAAAATATATATATTATGTAAATAAATAAAATTAAATCAATTTAATTTTATCAGGAAATTTTTTTTTATAATTGATTTTAATAAGAAAAAATAGTTTTCAGACATATATTACTAATTTTTTGGATGTTAATTCATTATAGTGAATCAATAGAGATTTTTTCAATCAGTCCTCCCATGTTAAAGCATGTGGGGGAAAAAAAAAGAAAAGTAAATCGGCAATAAATAATTCAAGTTTGGGGAAACATAAATTTTTCATCACTATTAGTCAAGTATTGAAAATTATTAGTGAAGAGGACATTTTTTTTTTATATCTGATACTTTTTTTTAAATTGCTGATTTTTTGACTAGAGGCAATAAATGACAGTTGGATGAACTTAAGGCAGCCTCAGCTACTTGAGGAACAACTATTTTGTAGTTGTTTAAGCACTGATACAGATTAAAGTCGTTTTATGAGAGATCTGTTGGTTCTGGGAGTTAAACCAACTTTTAGTCTACGTGCTTATTGAAGGCAAATATTTTTGCCTGATGGAAAACTGTTGATGTCCATCTTAATTTTTTTTAAAAGCCCTCAGACTTTTTATTGGAATTTACCTAATACAATATTTTCTAATTAGCAAATATTTTAATAAAGTGAAACATATATCTGTTTTCCAGACATATAATACTTTAGTTTGGTAATAACTGACTAGATCCAAGATTTAATTTTGATGGGGAATGGGAGGGGCTTCAGCCCGAAGGATTTTTTTTATTTTATGTATAACTATACGAAAAATTACTTCAGAAGAAAGAAAAAACTAAGTACTTATATGAATGATTTTGAAGTAGATTCTTTAAGGTCATATTACAAGTATTAGACTAACAATAGTAACTTTTAGAGATTTTTTTTCATAAACCATGGTTATATTTCCCCATTTTGTGGAGTGCGGAGAGAGGTCTTCATTCCGAAAGCTCTGTCAATTATACTTGTTTTTAGTAAAGATTTAAAATTTAACTTTATTCATAAAAATATTACATCAAATCAATTCATTATTTGTCTTTTCATTAATACACATCAAATGTTGCTTACAGAAAAATTTTATGTGTAGGACAGAAAAGTTTTTCTACCAATAATCACTACCTAACCTTGTGGGTCCGTTTCTGCAGTCTTCATGAGAGTGGTTATCATTATTTTATCTTAAAATGAGACTGAGAAATTTTATAACTTCATCTTTAAAAGTTTTTAATGTCTTTGTCTTTAATATCTAATGTAATGAACAGATCTGGGGTGTTGTACATGTTTTCCATTACCCTTGGAATTCCACGTACCAATGAAACTTTATTGTTAATACTAAATTAACTAAAGCAATATATAATTAAAACTTTTTGATTAACTAATCACTATCAATTATTATTAAAAAATTTGAAGTTTAGAAAACTTTTCTGTCCAACACATAAATTTTTCTGTAACCAACATTTGATATAGTTATTAATTAAAAGACAAATAATTGAATAATGATGTAATATTTTTATGAATAACGTTACAATTTTAAATTTTAAAAAAACAAGTATAATTGACAGAGCTTTTGGACTAAAGCCCTCCTCCCCCCAAATGGGAAAATATAACCATGTTTTATGGAAAAAAAAATCTCTAAAAGTACTATTGTTCGCCTAATTACATTTAATATGACTTAAAAAATCACTTAAACACCATTTCATTTAAGTACTTAGTTTTTTTCTTTCTTCTGAAGTAATTATCGTAATATATACATTAAAAAAAAAATCCTTCGGGCTGAAGCCCCTCCCATTCCCCATCAAAATTAAATCTTGGATCTGTCAGTTATTACCACCCAAGTATTAAAGTCTGAAAACAGATATATGTTTCCACTTTTATTAAAAATATTTGCCTATTAAAAATATTGTATTAAAAACGATTGTTTCAAATATATGTATATTTTAAATATTTTTTAAAGTATAAGATAATAATTTTAATGTAGCAAAAATTTTCTTACATATATATTTATTTTAGTCAAACGTTTTAAATTAATGTCTTGAATGAAGTCCTTTCTATTTCAGTGTTATTTGAGATCAACTTAGAAATTGATGGGAAGGGCATTACCCTCCATCCTTCAAATAATTTAGTTTCAAGATATTTTACTAGAGTTATATTTCAATTTATGTACTGTGGAACCAGAGCCAGCCTTAGGGTGGAGCGCTTGTTGGAGGCGCCAGTGATTAGGAACACTCCCCACTAGTCAAAAATTAAAAATATATATATTAACCAGATATTGAAAGAATTAATTTTAGCTTATTAATAAAAACTGTATTTGATAAATATTGACTGAAATAAAATTCAAATACTACATAACATAAAACAGTTTTAAAAATAAATCAATTTTTTTTATGGAGAGGGGAGAGATGTCATTGCCCCTGTGTCTAAGGATGGCAGTGTGGGGAACCCATAATTGTACGATATAATTTAAATCTGGACACTGGTGAAGAGTTTTGGATATTTCACATATGCGGAGAGCTTCGGACTAAGGGTTATTATCCTGGTATAATTTCAATGTTCAATTTCGCTGCACGAGCCTTAGCGGTCTATGAAAATAAACGATAAAACAAGCTGAACGTGATGAAATTCGAAAAATATTAAAACAATATGGGTTTAAGGTCGGAGTTAGTTGAAAATTATTCAATAAAAAAATTCTCCATGGGGCGGGGTGGCCGAACAGGCTAAAATGTGTGCCTCACAACCTGATACGTGAGATAACTAGATAAAAATGGTCAGGAGTTTGCTTCCCGATGCCAGGGGAGTCTTTTAAATCCTCGCCTTCACCTCCTGGCCCGGAAAAACTCCTTACAGCCTTAAAGGGGAGGCCAAAAAAAAAAAAAAGTAATTTAAGGTCTTCTCAGATAAATATATATATTGCTATATAATTTGAATATGTAGGTATGAAATCTTTTGCAGTATTAAATTTTTATTTAATGTTATTGTTATACTTATAAATTTATTTAAAATGTATGTATTCATTGATAGGCAACCATTTTTGGTAAAATTAATAAAAGTGGTATTGATGTTGTACTTGACCATTTAAATAAAAAGTATATGTAGTACATAATTTTTTGTATTGATATTTTTATTTATAAGTAATGGGTGGATCAAAACTAATGCTTGCCACTTAAAAATATAACAATGATCAGAAAAAACATTAAACCAAATTAAATAAATATAGATTTATTTTTCTAAAGTTACAGTCTTATAATTTTAATAATTTTTTGAGAACTGGATAGATGAAAAGTGAAATTCAAAGGTAGGGAAGGTTCTAATGACAGTAGAAGGGGTAAGTCCACTTAAACTCCTTACAAAAATGGGATGTAGAGACATCTCTAGGAATTATGATTGTGTACAGCAATTTATCAAATGTTTCAGGTTTGTCTCTAGATCGTCATAGATAGTCCCATACATCATATATTAGTGAAACTGGGAATATATTAACACATAAAATTATTAATATTACATTGAAGAGGAGATTGGTATAATATATGTCAATATCAATTTATTGTTTTGAGGAACACTTAAAAAAACTTCATTGCACTTTTATCTCCTTTTAACATATGATGTTTGGGCCACATCTCCCTTTATTTGATAATAAAATGAAAATAAAAATTAAATTTAATTGAATAA